ATATTTTGTCCATGTGAATTTGTGAGATGAACTTGTTTTTTGGATTATTTTTTAAATTGTAATGTATATTAATAGATAGAATGGGAGAATATGTGAAAGGAGAAGGTTAGACCTACTCTCATATAAAATTATTTTCTTTTTTAAGCCATTGTTTGGTTGAAATATTTTGAAGGCTATGGTTTATAGCGGACAAGGCTATGGTTTAACAGTGTATCCAATCAATAATTTTAAATGTTAATTTAGCCAAGTTAGGTTGGTTTTAGAAATACGTGTGAGTGTGTATGTTTGTACATAATCAACATTGAGAACATAGTTGTCGAAATCATATCATGTTGACCATCTTATTTGTATTTTGCTGACTCTGATACACAATTTAATATTTTCAGAAGTTAAGCGGTCTTGTTCAGCAAAGATTGGCCCCTTTACTATTATTGTATGCAGATTTAAGTGGGGCTGTTGAAGTGAACCAATGAAGATGGATGCAGATTGAAAGTTCGAAACATGCAATTGTATGTGATGGAGTGATAATAAAGTCAATGGGAGTTTTAGATCATGGGGCTGTTGTATCATTCAAAACACATAAATGCACAGCCAGACAATGTTTAGAGTTTAGGCTATACAAACGATATACTCTGAACACACAGACTGTTAGGAATACTATACCGACTAGTGTAATAGCTTTGTATTCAGTGTAGCTGTTATAATTTTTGAGCTGTTTACTTTCTCTTACAAGTCTGTTAGAGCTACTGCTCTATAAATATCAATGTACTGGTGTTATGATCTTAATGAAATCATTCTTCTTCATCACTATACTCTGTTACTTTTCTAATACAGACAATTACTTTTTGTGCACAAACAAAACAAACAAATACACACAAACAATATAAACAAACACACAAATAATAATTTTCTCCACACAAACAAAATAATTGAATACATGACCAATGTTTTAACTACACATAGACAATGTAAATAAACACAGACAATTTCAATTTCTTACAGTTTCATTAATATAGAAAATTATGAGAAGTGACTTCATGTATGGTTAAAAGACAATTCCTTTCAACTCATTAGTCCATTTAAGTTCACATGCAATTCCACTTACCCCATTAACCCGCTATAGTGGCTATTATCTATGAGCAGACACTTCATATTTTGTTCACAAACAATTCCAGTTAGCACATTATTCCATATAAATGACTATTACCAATGGTCAAATACTTCATGTGCATTCGTTTATTTTGTTTGTGCGTGGTTTAACATTGTCTGTGTGTTAGTTAATTTTGTTTGCTAATATTTTAAACATTGTTTGTGTGTTCTTTTATTTTGTCTGTACGTAGAAAATCATTGTTTGTGTCTCCATTTACATTGTATATGTGTGGTTTAAACATTCATCCCCTCAAACCTGTCACAAACATTTCACTTTCAAAAATGAAAAATGTCTATACATAGACAAAACTCGTATAAAAATTGTCTCTACACACAAAAATTGTCTACATACAAAACTACTATATGTTCGAGAGAGCTAGAGAAGATAAAATAACACATTTTCTATTCTTCTGCTTAGAAACTCCTCCTTGTCACAAACTCACAATTAATCACATACAAAATCATGTGTGCTACTCCGATCTGATATAACAACAAGAACTCATCACGTTCTAATTTACGTATTTTTTACTAAGAAACACCATCTTTATAATGAAAAGCACTTATATTCATGTAATTTCCAATTGTATATTTGTATTTTTAACTAGTTTTTATTAGTTCTAGTTGTGAAAATTACACACTTTTGGTGTAATACTTTATTTTCATTTTTATTTGTAATTTAGTTAGATTAGGATTTTTCTGAGCTAAACAGGTCAAATATCATCTAAGGGATCAAGATTGGACCTTAAAAGATCAAGGAAAGTGCAAGGAGACAAGAAAGATTTCGATTTGGAAAAAATACTCATGTACCCGGTCGGGTATTGCCTATACCCGATCGGGTAATTGCTTGATTCGACTGTCCAAATCAAATCCGAAGACAAATGATTGTGGGAGCAAATTTTCATAAAGATTTGTCACATACCCGATCGGGTATATACCCTTACCCGATCGGGTATGCCCAGAAAAATCACTTTCTGGGCAATTTCCTGAGATACCCGGTCGGGTATCCTATATACCCGGTCGGGTATCAGACCCTGCAGCTCCCAAAAGCCTATAAATACACCCCTTTCCTTCACAATAAAATCACCAATTCACATATACTCTCTAGCTCAGTTTAGATTAGTGTTTTCTTTATATTTTCCATCATGTTTAGTCTCCAAATGAGGAGCTAAACTCTTCCATCTTGGTTTTGCTACTTTGAAGCTTAATGAATTTGTAAGTTGTGAGTTATTCTCTTTAATCTTCTTCCTTGAATATTACTTCTTCCTTTAAATACTATTTCTATATCAATGTTGGGGAGTGTTACTAAGATGACAATTAGTTAACATCTTGACATTAGTTATAGTAATAGTTATTTCTTCCTCTATGTTAATATTGGGGAGTGTTACTAAGATGACAATTAGTTAACATCTTGATATTAACTATAGTAGGATTCATCTTTTTTAATATTCTTCCTTGAGTATTAATTAATTCCTATTCATATTTCATAGTAATATTTTGAACATTACTTAAAGGATCAACTAGTTTTGTTTCATATATTAATTATTACTAGAATCGGTCGATTAATACGTTTGTTATTAATTCGGTCCTTTCACGGTAGTAAACTTGGGTTATTAATGCATGCGTTTCATGGTTAATAACCCAAGGGGAATTAATTATATTGATTAAACCAATAAACCGTTTGTGTTGAGGTTATCAATCTCAATCGTTTTCATCTTAATTTTATTGCTACTATCAAGTGAATATACGGCGCGTGTTCTATATTAACTCGGTAGTAAGTTTTATTAATGAACGCTTCTCGTTATTAATAACTACCCTCGATGAATTGGATATACTCCTCGATTGAGTATTCGAGAGGAAGATAGTTAAAGATATAACCGGGATCGACGAACATTTCATTAAGTGGATAAAAGCAAAACCAAGTCTCCTTCTCATTAATTAAACCACATAACTCGTTCATCTTCATGCTTAAATATAATTTAAGTTCATAAACCAATCATAAAAACCCCCCTTGTTACTTATTTCTAATTCTATAAAAAGAGAAGTGTTCCTTTCCCTGTGGATACGAACCTTACTTCATTATACTACGTATAATTGTTGTATTGTATTATTATTTTGAGTGCACACCACGACAAAGTGCACGTCAAGCACTTACATAAGGGTTTATTATAGGTTTTTGAAACATTTTGGGAACAAACTAATCCTACTTACAGAAATAACCCATGCATCATAAGTTTCAAAGACACATGTACTATAGCCTAAGATTAACAGAAACATCCCTCTACTTACACTATTCTCTTCCATATGCAAACTTGTCAAATCAGGGAGAAAAGTCCAAGCAGAGTATTACTTTGAGTATTAGCAAACTATTGGTCCTATTGATTAACAATTTTTTGGATCAAGGATTAACAATTTCTTAAGGCCTGCAAACAAATCATCAAATTCCTCTGATGGCCACCACTTAGGCTTACTGAAAATGGAAGTTTATGCCCTCTATGCTGCATTTCACTTTTCCCTTTTCAATTTTATCATACGTTTCACCATTTCTGACTTCTTTACACACTAAATCAGCATCAACATTATCATCATCTTGGACTTCGGCTGCATTTGGTTGTGTTTCACCTACTGACAGTGTTGAACTCCCAACCCCCAAACAATCTTCTGAAACCTTAATTCTCTTAGAGGGATATCATCATTATCTCATTGAACACTTGATCAATCTGTAAAAAAAGTCAAGAAGAAGAGTTAACTTCAAACACTTATTACAGCCCATTGGAATGAAGCAAATCTAAGCAAAATACTACAATAGTCAAAAAACAATAATCTGAAATCGAAAAAAAGAAATTTAAAATCTACTAAATATCAAAGAACATAATAACACCAAACTAAGAATAAAAGAATAATGTTTATCCATGATGTTGAGTATTTTATATTTATGTTTCTAATATTCAACAGATATTTGAGGCCAACACTTCACTAATAAAATAGTAAAAGCATATTAAGGCGAGTGTTTTCTACAAGTTCTATTTGTTTATGTATCAGGTGCTCCCCTTTAACAAGATAACTTGTCATTTATACAATTCCACTCATCTGTCCTGACATGCTAAGAACCTCAACTTTGGCTTCAACCATTCATTTAACATATTTATGTGGATTCATCCATGTACAATAAAGTTTAGAGGCCAACATTTCACTAGTAAACTAGTAAAAGCATCATAGGCAAATAAAATAGTCAATAAAAATAACTATATCATTATTCAAATTGGGAAACGAGAAAAATTAGAATCTTCAACAAATTAACAAAAAAGGATCCGTCAAAATAACAAGAAAGGAGAGTAAAAGTCTTGGATTTAAACAAAAAAAAAAAAAATCATCGAGTAATTTCAACAAAGATGTTATGAGCATAAATGTGAAATGGAGTAATTGAATTAAAATTTCAATAGTTAACCCTACATTCTCTTAATATTCAACTAATCAGTGTTATACCAAACATTACACACAAATAATCAGAAATTTTAAAAAATAACTAAAGTGCATATAGAAAAATCAAATAGGTTATTACCTCAATTTATGGGCTAGTTGATGGGGGCTTCTTGTTCGAGCGGTGCAAATCGACCGTCTCATCCTCGGACTTGAAGAGAGGTGACCACCTAAAAGTTTATTTATGAGGTTTTGAAAGGGAAAACAAAGTGAAATGAGAAGGAAGAAAAGAATGAAAGAGAAGGATGGGGAGGGATGTGGTGTAAGAGAAGGGGTGCGAGAGAAGGGAAAGAAGGGATGTGGTGTAAGAGAAGGGGTGCGAGAGAAGGGAGAGAAGGGAGTGAGAAAGGGTAAAAGAAAAGGAACGGAGGTAAAAAGAAATTAAGCCCTTTTATAGTGTGTATAAAGTGTGTACAAATGTGTGTACAAGAAGCATTTTTGTATAAAATATGTGAAAGAACTCAGGAGGCTTATTGTTCCATTAAACCGACCAGATTCATTTACAGGTGATGCGCAGTACACAAATATATCACCACCACATGTAATCTGTTCAATCAGAAGAAGATGGCCGAGGCCAGAGAAAGCGCGGAAGAAATCTATGCTCCGCTAAGTAAGCTCGATTTGATAAATTTATTAATTTAATGCCCGTTAATCTAATCTAAATAAAAAGCCGCTATGATTTTGCAGTTGTTAAGTACGGCAACTCTTTCGGTTCTTCAGTTGATGAGGAAAACTCTGCGGTGGAGCAAGTGGCTCTGACGGTTCCCATCACCGACGACCAGACACTGGCCGCGGTGACATTCCGGATGTGGGTCCTTGGGGCGTTGGCCTGCTGCCTTCTCTCCTTCCTCAACCAGTTCTTCTGGTACCGCCGGGAGCCGCTGACCATCAGCTCCATCTCCGCCCAGATCGCGGTGGTTCCGCTGGGGCACCTGATGGCGAAGGCGGTCAGCCGGCGCGTGTTCTTCAAGGGGCGAAAGTGGGAATTCACGCTCAACCCGGGACCCTTCAACGTGAAGGAGCACGTGCTGATCACGATCTTCGCCAACTGCGGCGCCGCCAATCCCTACTCCGTCCATGTCGTCACCGCCGTCAAGATTTTCTACAAACGCGCGTTGAGCTTTTGGGTGTCGTTGACCGTGGTCGTGACCACCCAGATCTTGGGCTTCGGATGGGCCGGAATCTTCCGGCGATTCTTGGTGGACCCCGCGTCCATGTGGTGGCCCCAGAATCTCGTCCAAGTATCCCTGTTCAGGGCATTTCATGACGAAGAAGAGAAAAGCAAAGAGAGATTAACCAGAAACCAGTTTTTTCTTGCGGCCTTCATCTGCAGCTTTTGTTACTATGTTTTCCCGGGGTACATTTTCCCAATGCTGTCTTCACTTTCATGGGTGTGTTGGGTGTTCCCCAGTTCCGTATTGGCCCAGCAGCTTGGTTCTGGGCTAAAAGGCCTAGGCATTGGCGCTGTGGGCCTCGACTGGTCGAGCATCTCGTCTTACATTGGGAGCCCACTAGTCAGCCCATGGTTTGCCACGGTTAACATTGCGGTCGGATATGTCCTCCTCCTGTATGTCATCACTCCCGTGCTCTACTGGAACAATGTTTACAGCGCCAAGAGTTTCCCCATATTTTCGGATGGACTGTTCAAATCCAACGGCGGAGAGTACAACACTTCTGCAATCGTGGATAAGGATTTCCATATTGACTTGGAGGCGTATGCTCGTGAGGGTCATCTTTATCTCAGCACTGTCTTTGCCATCACTTATGCCTTCTCTTTCGCTTGTCTCACCGCCACTCTTGTTCATGTCATCCTCTTCCATGGAAGGTACTTTTCTTTTTCTTTTTTGTGCTTATCAGCTGTAGCAACAATTACTCGTTTTTTACTCCTATTCTGAAATCTGAACTGCTGGTAATGAAAATTAGTTCGCCTAATTGCGCTTAAGCTGCTTAATTAAGAGCATCATTTTGGCTTCCAGGCGTCATTCATTTTCTCTACATTACCCATATATTTTGTTTTTATTTCAGCTATACAAACACATTTTCAAAATTTTCAGCCACACCCATCATCTTTAGCAAACTCTCTCTGAAGATTCTACTGTTTTTTTCAAATATTTATTAATATTAGTATGTGAATCGTTTCTAATAAATTTAGGATTTTAAAGTTTTTTCTTTGTTTTATTGATTAATTACTAGCTCTCATGGTTGTATAAAATAAGCCCTACCAAACTGGGATCTTGATTCTATAAATAGGATAAGTTTTACTTTTGAAGTGAAGTGATTTGTATTCTAAATGTGCCGCCTAGGCGTTGCTGACTAAACCTTTGAGGTGTAGAGACATATGGAAGCTCAGCAAGTCTGCCTTCCATGAGAAGAAGATTGATGTTCACACAAAGCTGATGAGAAGATACAAACAAGTTCCGGAGTGGTGGTTCACTTGCATTCTACTTTTGAACATCTCTGCCACTGTGTTTGTATGTGAGTTTTACAAAAGCCAGTTGCAATTGCCATGGTGGGGTGTGTTGCTAGCTTGTGGTATTGCCTTCACATTCACACTTCCCGTCGGCATAATCACGGCCACCACTAACCAAGTAATCCTCCCAGCTATATATTTTTTGCTTTGACTTTTTCTATGAATTCACCTTTGCTACAACAATATTTGCTTCCATAGTTCCACATGCTGTAGTGGACAAAATGTTGTCAAAAAAAATGTATTTGAGTTATGAGACAGACAAATTCTACAGCACCCCATGACCCCATCATAGTCATACACCTAGGCTGTGCATTTTTTTCTCCTCACTGCATGACTCCTTGGCTACAGACTACAGTTGATTCTTGACCATGCATTTTTTGTTAAGGGCCTAAATCATGGCTAATGACTCCTCATCTGAGTGTGGACCACTTCATTTTTAATAGAGAGCTTACATCATGACTATGGATCGAACTGTTTCTGAAACTATATTAAAACGTGTGATTCCATCCTAATAGGTAAGTTGATAGAAGTAGTCTTAGGTCTTTTACTATGTTTAGCTTAAACATTTATTCTACTTTTTAGTAGTTCTCCTAATCTTTTTGTGTGGAATTATTCCCAAACAAAAATAATACTCCCTCCGTCCCATGAGGGGGTGGCACTCATAACAATAAAGGTGGGTTTATGTGGTTGATATAGAATTGATAAAGTAAGAATGATTTAGAATCACACAAATTTTACTAAATTTGGTATGTGGCAATCTTAATGGGACGGACCGAAAAGGAAAATTGAGACAATCTTAGCGGGACGGAGGGAGTACTACATAATAACATATCTCGATGCGTGAATGGAAATATTCTTAAAACTTCCTATTTCCCTAATTCATGCGAAACTTTTTCAATGTAGACACCTGGTTTAAATGTGATCACAGAGTACATAATTGGGTACTTGTATCCGGGATATCCAGTTGCTAACATGTGCTTTAAAGTCTACGGCTATATCAGTATGAAGCAGGGGCTAACCTTTCTACAAGACTTTAAACTTGGCCATTACATGAAGATCCCCCCAAGAGCAATGTTCATGGCTCAGGTTAGCTTATCTCTTCATCTCTTTAGTTTCTTATTTGAACATGGGATACCATTTTCAGTAATGTCTTTTTTGTCCTACTTTTTTATATGTGGAAGTATAAAAGAGACTTTTTTTTAGAGGTAAGAGAAGTACAATCTTTTTCCAAGGAAGCCGTTCACTAATAATTTGTAAAAATGCTAGGAAATGTAAAAATGCTAATAATTTGTTTTCTTTTGGGGAAAATTCACGAAATAGGACTAAAATGTTTGAGAAAATAGGACTCATTTTTTTATTCCCTAAGTAGGAGTAATTATTGCCAAGTTTGGAAAATATTGCCATGTTTAAAATCTAAATATGGTAATTCCAAAACATGACAGTAATTAGTCCTATTTAGGGAATAAAAACATGATAGTCCTATTTCGGAAAAGACAAATCTACTCTTTTTTAGGGCAATTTCCCTTTCGTTTGTTAGGAGAAATGATAAAACAGAATAATACAAAAATTGATTCCAATGTTTTTTATCTCCCACTTTTGTTGCCTTCAAAATTTCTGCCATATTTTTCTGTCCGTGGCATTTTCCCGAGCTCCCAATGGACCCTAAGAGTCATTTTGTGGAGTAACACTGTCTTTAAAATTAAAACAGGAGACCATACTATGGAGATTCACTCTTTCTCTGAACATGTAAACCCAGGTGGTTGGGACCTTAGTATCCGCATTTGTGCATCTCGGGACAGCTTGGTGGCTAATGGAAACTGTCCCATTCATATGCAACCGGGCACTACTTCCTGCGGGCAGCCCTTGGACTTGTCCGAGTGACCATGTATTTTATGATGCCTCAGTCATCTGGGGTTTGATTGGACCCCGTCGAGTGTTTGGAGACCTGGGGTACTACTCCGCAATTAATTGGTCTTTCTTGATAGGTGCCATTGCTCCTGTCTTGGTGTGGTTGGCAAGCAAGGCCTTCCCTGACCAGCATTGGATTAGGCTGATCATAGTGCCTGTGCTACTTAGTGGAACCATGAATATGCCCCCGGCAACTGCTGTGAACTACAACAGTTGGATAATCATTGCTTTTGTTTCTGGTTTCGTGGCATATAGATACTATCGGAACTGGTGGAGCCGCCACAATTATGTGTTATCAGGCGCGTTGGATGCAGGGTTGGCCTTCATGGGAGTGTTGCTATACCTGTGCTTGGAAATGGAACATATTCACCTGAACTGGTGGGGAAGCAATGTAGATGGGTGCCCTTTGGCCTCTTGCCCAACTGCTGAAGGCGTTTCGGTTGATGGCTGCCCCCTGTTTTGAGCTGAAGTAGCTTTTGTGCAGCCGTTGATCATTTGTGAATTGAGGTACATGATTGTATTGCATTTTTATTACAAATGAACAAAAATACTTTATATTCTTTTGGAACTCATGTATTTGTGTAGGAATGTTCTTGTCAATCCTATCGCTTTGCCTAATTATACTTGGGGACTACCCTGTATCCTAACCAATACCATACAATCAAATTCACATGGCATCAGATCATTGTAGAAACACACGATCAGAATCTCCCTGTTTCCCATCATTGTTATCAAGGCTGCCGTGATACTTGTTTAATGCTCTCTAATCAACTTTTTCATTAAATTAACCTGTTCAAATTCCCCGGCATCGTGCTGTCAAGCTGACGCCCCTCTTAGAGGGGTGGATTCGTCAATACATTGACAGCGCTCCAAAATCTGGTTTCTCCAACCATTTTTAATCAACAAGAAAATAACCATTTTTTTTGGAAATAACAACAATACAATTATACAAATCGTAACTACAATTTTAATTGATAATTCTCAACCAAAGATGAAAAGGAAAGTTACTCAATTGATTCAACCAACAACGGTTAAAGTTCTAACACAAGAGAATTCACTTCTGCACCAAGAGAAATTGGCTAGAACAGACTTCAGCCTCATGCCTCAGCATATCAAAAGATCCGTCTGTCCCCCTTATGTCCTCTGCAATTTTTGTATAGGCGCTCCGACTAATTGATTTTTCGACTAGGTGAATTAGTCAGCCGCCTATGGCGCCTAGTTTTCCGTCCAAAGTGCCTAATAGGCCGCATAGGCCGTCTAGATTTGCCGAACATTACTTTACTTTTCAATTTTAATTTTCAAAGCGATATAAGTACTTTAACTTTAGCCACGGATATAAAGAAATGAAGTTGTAAATCAAGATAAAAACCATATGTGTTTGTATGTATATCTAAATTTTATTACTATTCATATTTATAACGTAATGAAGTTAAGTCATTAGTTATCATATACTGAGTATGATTAAATGTGATAACTCTATCATTCATGTTTGTTAAGGTATGTGTATAAATGTATTTTATACAAACAAAAATACAATACTACTTAACAAGTTAACATATTTGTGCGAAAATATAGATAAAAATGCAATTTTTATGTCTCCGATTAGTCCCCGACTAGGCGTCCGTCTAGGCGCCTAGGCGTTAGGCACTGGGCTGACGCCCAACTAGCGCATAGCGCTTTTTAGAACATTGACAAAATATAATAAATAAATACAAGTATGTCTTATTAGTCAACATTGTCACAATGAATGTAGAAATGTGTAAAAGTTAAAATGACATATGCTAAACATGTATTTTCATATCTAACTTATTTATTTATTTATATTCTAAAGGTGAAGAGTGAAGACAAATACAATGCATTTTTATAAGTATTACAAGTTTGGTTTACGATTTGTCGTTGTAAAATCAAATCATTGGATTTGAGGCTTTGAGCAAATTGTTACCAAAGGGTTTATTTTAGTGAACCCAAATAAAACCAAATACCAATTTTCAGTTTCTTTGGATTAATCAAACAATTTGCTCAACCTTATTTTAGACTATTAGACTGACAAAAACAATATTTTTCAAACATGGTTCTTTCTTTTTAAAATTTTATTAGAAGCACGGCGTATGTACAAATGCCCAAAATTCCGTCAAGAGTTTATGATGCAATGCCTTTAAGTGACATCTTACTTTATCGATCTCGACATTGAAGTTTTCAACTTAAACCAAATAATTCTCAAAGTCTTGATATATAGAGTACCCACCTGAAAGTAATGTATAAAAAAATATAATATAACTATTATATTATTTTTCATCATTTTTAAGAGGTATTCTTAACTTAGATTCCAAGTGTATACAGCTCGGTAGCCCCTTTAACTTTATTATTTATGTACAATATTAATAAATTTAAGAGAAATTTGTAAACATAGATGAAGTGTACAAATAGAATCATAATTGTTTAATGGGAAAAATACGGTAATATTACTAAAAGATGAAGACTTTCCCATGATATGACCAAAAAGTTAAATTGATGAGAATATGACTACGAAACACCATGGATGAGTCACGTGCATTTTAAAATGAGATAAAATGACTTCAATGCCCTAATGTGTCCGACTGGAAGAGTTTTAATAAAAAAGAAATTATGATTTGAAAGAGAAAGTAAATGAGATTGGGCTCAAGTAAGAGAATTTATTGCAGTAGAGAAACATAATAAGGATACAACTTTCTTCGGTGATCGTATATCCAGAATACAAACGCCGTGTGACAGTAAACTTTGAATTGAAAGCAAGAAAGTGATGCCGAAAAGAAGAATGCGGAGTTAAGGCAGTAAAAACGAAGGACGCCATCTTTTTTTTTTCCTTTTTGTTCCCACGACATGGATGGATATATAGTTGTTTATGACATTTAGACATACAATAATTTTTTAGTGAATATTCCGAGTTTGGGCAATAAAATGCAAACGAGTGAGTGAGGGCATTAATTTGTGGATAACTAAATAGGGCAGTAAATGATTTATGGAATGAGTTATTGAATACGGAGTACCAAATAATGTTGAAATGTAGGGCAGTAAAGAATGAAGGATTGAATGTTAAAATATATAAGGCAGTAAATTGAAAAAAAGAAAAAAGAAATTGTGAATGAAGGATGGCAGTGAATGAGAAATGGGGACGGCAATAATTTATGGAATTGGATCTACGTGGTGGGGGTCTATTAGTCTATACTTTTTTTTCAGTTGTGGAACACGTTTTAATTTAGGGCATTAAAATATGAAGAAATTAAGTTGTGGAAGGAAGGAATAGATCAATGATGTAATTAAGTTGTGGTATGATGAATTATAGGTGTCAAAAATGCATAATGATAGTAGCAGCAGTTACCATAGTCAAACCCATCTTTTACCATATCGAGAAACAAGGAAAACTTCCATGTGCGTATGCGGCTTAAGCTGTTCATCCGTTGAGGCCTTGAGGGCAACGGTGGAATAAAGAAAAATAAAAATCACCATAAATGACCATGAACGGATAGGCACATCAAAATGGGAAAACAAAAGACCAAGTCATATATTGAGAAATAGGTTATGTTTTGGTCTTACGACGGATAATTTTCTCTTGTTTAATCCCTAAAATATACTCATGCACTCCTTATTAGGGAAGTTTTATAAATTTAATAGAACTAAATAAGTTTTATTATGAGATTAAAAACATATTTACTCCTATTTATAGCGGTTTCTGTAAAACTAAATATATACGGAGTATAAGTTATAGTTTTGGATTGAACTCATTCGAGCCACCAAAATTATTTCAAAGTTGACGAAGAGCCTTGTCGTAGCATTTGAGAAATGGGAATAAATCGGGGATGTAGCTCACATGGTATGAAGAGGGTGCCACAAGGGAGAGGTCATGTGTTCAATTCCGAGATAACTATCCGAGATGGAGTGTCACTCTTTTTTCAAAAAAAAATTGAGAATGAATCTGAGTCGTTAGATTTGACGATATTGCATAATACAAGCTTCCTATGCATCGTCATTTTACACTTGCAATGAGACTTTAATTTGTATGTATCTTTACGTCTTGTTTGGATGCAGTGTTGGGAAGTGTTAGTAATGGAAGTGCCAGTAAGTGTTTATAGGCAGTGCGATCCTACGTAAACTTGGGCCTGAGTCCAGTTTCATAAAACGGCCCTATACATAGTATTTGTTTTGAAATACAACATATTTGAAAATAGAAGATTTATATCGCAAAAACTCAATACTCGAATATAATTCTTACATTATTATAACATAAACAAAAAAATCAGAATTTTGATTAATTTTCAATTGAAAATTACACACTTTTTACCATTATAATCTTAAATAAAGAATATATCTCAATTCTCAAATATAAAAATTTCACTTGCAAGGCACGGCCCTACTTCACTACTTCGTAAAATTAACAAGTAAGAATCAACTAGCTTTTAATTTCTAAATAGCATTTTTATGCAAATACTTCAGATTGCAATCAATAATATAAGAATTAGTCAATAGTTATAGCAAATAGAAAATAGAAATTAATAATTTAGTTCATTCGGTCATTCACAAATCAATAACTCATCAATTTAGCAAATCGTTCTAAAAGCTAGATTTTTGGAAATAATAACATATCTGCAAATTTGGAAGTTCGGGTTTGTACTTCACTACTTGGTTGATAACTGATCTATTGTTCCACGTGTTTTGTTACTTCTATAGCAAACGATTTAAGCTTAACAATCAGTATAACTCCTATTTTTTAATACATACACATATATAATATAAAGTCATTTAAATTTTTGGGCCCCTAATTTTTAAATTTTTTTGGAGCCCTGAGGCCCAAGCCTCACCGGCCTAGGGGAAGGACCGACTCTGTTTATAGGGGCCCGGAATGAAAAGTAAGTGTAAGTGTTACACATATTCTTACCTTGTTTGAGAGAGTTAAAAAATAAAATGTTAGTAACAGAAGTGTTTTCATTTAAATTGACAAAAATATCCCCATACCTCTTAAATCATATACTACGTATTATACACACTTTAATCACCAAGTGTATTTCACAACAAACGTCAATTAAATGACGGGAAAACAGGGGATATAAAATCAGCTCAGGAACAATATGACCGGGAGGGATTTCCCTCCATCGCTTACGAATTACAGTTATTGCCAACAAGAGAATAACGAACCCTCCTCCCCCTTTCTTCTCATCAACTTTATTTCATTTCATCATTTCCCCAGCTGGCTGCTGCAAAAAATCTTGATACACGGAGCACTCTTTCTTGATTTCCCGGCCGGCATTGTTTCCGATCGAGCGACAAGTCCCAAGGTGTTGTCATAGGCATTAGATCGATTGAATGAGAGATTGATTACCTGGAAGCCAGGCGGCGCACACTTTCGAGTTAATTTGCAGCTAGCATGCACCGCACTGTACCAGAGATTATCCAGAGATTATCCAATTAATAATTTGAAATGGGAGTGGGAGCGCGCGGCATGGAAGATGGATAGATTGTTGTGTAGGCCGGCGTCACGGCTCCGCCGGTACCGGCGATGTTTATATTCCGACAGCGCAGCGAGGTCGGCAGAGGGGGGAGAGGAGGAGGGGGTGGGGTGGCGACACAAGATATTGGATCCGAGCAGCGGGTTCGTGAACCTGTGGAACCACATCTTCCTGGTCACCTGCCTCATCTCCCTGTCCATAGATCCCCTTTACTTCTACCTGCCGTACGTCGGCGGCAAGGCCTGCATGTCCACCGACAAGAGCGCCTCCGTAGCCATAACCTACTTCCGCACCCTCACCGACTTCTTCTACGTTCTCCACATGCTCCTCAAATTCCGCACCGCCTTCGTCGCCCCCAGCTCCCGGGTTTTCGGCCGGGGCGAGCTCGTCATGGACTCCACCGAAATCGCTATGCGCTATCTCAAATCCGATTTCATCATTGATTTCGCAGCCACCCTCCCTTTACCTCAGGTAATAATTCATTCATTCACCATCCAATACGCATTTATTTATGAATGAAAGCTTTATTTCCACATCCATTCATTCATTCATGCCTGCAGATTGTGATTTGGTATGTGATTCCGGCCACGAAAGGCAACGGCTCCGGCCACGACAACAACACCATTGCTCTCATCGTCCTCATTCAATACCTTCCCAGGTTGCTCGTTAGCATTCCCTTAAATCAGAGGATTATCAAAACCACCGGCTTTATTGCTAAAACAGCTTGGGCAGGAGCTGCATATAACCTTATCCTCTTCATGTTAGCCAGCCATGTATGTAATCAATCATACAGGGAGTATAATTAGTACTCCTTATTAGTAACTCTTTCATTGTATTTGTAGAGTACTTCTTTTCTTCATCAAGTTTTCATTGAATAGACCTGATTTATTCCCAAACTAACACAAGTGGCCGGGTGTGCTGGTTGTGGGCGGAGGCGCGTGCAGGTACTGGGGGCTTCATGGTACCTCTCGTCCATTGGGCGCCAGCACTCTTGCTGGACAATGCAGTGTAAGATTGAGCAGAATGCGGTGCCACCTTGCGTGCCGAGTTTTCTGGACTGTGAGAGCGTGACTTCCCATACGCTGGAGCGGGAGTACTGGCTCAACACCACATCATTGCTCTCGCGTTGCGATCCTAATAATGAGGACTCTGATTTTAAATTCGGAATGTTTGCTGATGCCTTCACCAGTGAAGTCGCATCCTCTCGATTTATCGAAAAGTATCTCTACTGTCTCTGGTGGGGCTTAAGAAATTTGAGGTACGTATTTATACAGAACATACATGCTCCATCTTCTACTCGATGGCCCTTTTAATTTGCCTTTCATGAATCATATTGCATCACGCACTCACGCGAGTTTGTGGAGTTTCCTTCTTACTTTGGAATGGTCTCCACTTCTCCAGATATATATATCTTTAATGGTTACAAAGAAATTAAGTGAGGGGATTCCTATTTTTATGGGGGGGGAGGGGGCTTACAATTGGATCATAAATTATTTTTCTGAACAACTGCACTAACAAAGTTTAAGCCTTATCTTTGACATTTCAATTATGCTCAAGTAGTTAATGTTCTATGCAGTTCATATGGACAGAATTTGATGACTAGCACTTACATTGGGGAAACAGTCTTTTGTATTTCCGTGTGTATCATTGGCTTAATTCTATTTTCTCATTTGATTGGGAACATGCAGGTAAGCATTTGTTACTTTAATTAGCTTCTTAATCCTACCTTAATATTATCATTCTCAAGTCATGATCTCATACCAAACTATGGTGACATTGACTTTATAAAATGAAACAAAGGCATGAATTAAGTATGCCATTATAGCTATTATAGGTAGTACGTAGTATATACTACCTAAACGATGAATCTATATATTCTCAAACCAATGTATCGATTTGGCTAAACATAAAAAACAACACAAGTTTCAAGAAGCGCACGACTGTTTACTTGCACCATTTTCTGTTCTTGCATTTTGTGATGCATGCTGGTGATAGATTTAAAAGTAACAATGTACATATAATAGAAAATCCATTTCAAATCATCTACACTTGGATATTTTATTTAAGGAGTCAATTTGACGTGAGACTATACAGTATAATTGTGTTGTACTCCTTATGTTAGTTTCTTGATTTATTTATATTTACCCACAGGAGGACAATCTCTATCTTCACCATGCATACGATCGTCAATCGATGTCCAAGATTTCTATATATTTTTTGTTTCTCTGTTTGACGATGATATTCAATTCTAAAGTATGCTCATGATGTTTGAACCTCAAACTTTAGAGCACGTAGTTCAATCTAGAAATATGCATGTAGCACATTGTTTATTTATATTTACCCAAAGGAGCACTTAGTGATAATTAATGATAAAACATAATTATATATTTCGTTTGAAGATCAGACTTACCTGCAATCCTCTGACGGTGAGACTTGAGGAGTGGAGGATTAGAAGAAGAGATACAGAAGAATGGATGAGGCATCGGCAGTTACCACCAGATCTGCAAAGACGTGGTTCGTCAATTTGAGCAATACAAATGGCTGGCCACCAGAGGAGTGAAGGAAGAATCTATCTTGAAATCCTTACCGCTGGATCTTCGTCGTGAGATTCAGAGACATCTTTGTCTTAACCCTCGTTCGCAGAGTACGTACGTATATACGAAGCATTTCAATTTAGAAATAAAGCATTTAGTCATATTTCAGGAATCACCATCTCTGTCTTTGAGTCATATCTCCTATACTGTCTTTGATCTACGTGCGTGCATACTACATGCATGGCAGGTTCCATTCTTTGCACAGATGGATGATCAACTGCTTGATGCCATCTGTGAACGGCTAGTGTCATCTCTGAGCACAAAAGACACGTACATTGTGCGGGAGGGTGATCCGGTGAGCGAGATGCTTTTCATCATTAGGGGCACACTCCAAAGTTCCACAACCAACGGAGGAAGATCAGGATTCTACAATACTTATGACCTCAGGCCCGGAGACTTTTGCGGGGAGGAGTTACTCACATGGGCTCTACTCCCCAACTCTTCACTAAACCTGCCTTCCTCAACTCGCACCGTGCGAACACGGTGTGAGGTTGAGGCATTTGCGCTTCGCGCTGAGGACCTTAAGTTCTTCGCCGTTCAGTTCAAACATCTCCACAGTAAGAGGCTGCAGCATGCCTTTCGGCACTATTCTCAGCAGTGGAGGACCTGGGGCGCCTGCTATATCCAATCTGCATGGAGAAGGTACAAAAAGAAAAAGTTGGCCAAAGAGCTGTCTTTGCATGAGACAGGCTATTATCAATACATGCCGCCCACGGAATTAGCTGGTGTAGACAATGAATCATCATCATCATCATCATCTGGAGGTTATGATGGTGTGGACACTCATGCACCGCAGCACATTGGACCCACAATTTTGGCCTCCAAATTTGCAGCAAATACAAGAAGGGGGGTCATGCAAAAAGTTAAGATAACTACTCCTGCACCTTCATCATCCAGTCTCAAAATGTCACAACTATGTAAACCAGAAGAGCCTGATTTCTCTAGCTCTTAAATGAGAATCTAATATTCACTTGTACCTTCATCCCTCATACACATTAGATTGAAGATGTCTGACTTCCTTTCTTTAGAATATACAAGAATTTTGACTGCTAAAGTCTGTTGTATAGGGTAATTTTATTCTTCTACTTGTAAATCATTGCAGCGTCTAGGTTTTGGTCAACAGATTCTTAATTATGTTAGATTTCAGATTTTCAGATTCTTAATTATGTTTTGCTATAGGAGTAAAAGCGTTTTAGAATCCTAGAATGGAATCAATCACTATATTTATTCTCTAAATATGAGTAACTATTACCATGTTTGAAAATAATGCTATTTATTATACGGTGATATTTAAAGTTTAGTAATGCCAAGTATGACAGTATATTTCACAGAATGTTTGGTAAACATAGTACTTCTACTTTAGAATTCCAAAATGTTTTCACTCATATCTTGAGAATTTTTCCTGGTTTTTGTACTAGTTCCAAAATACTCGTAGATTTGTAGTAAATCTCTCTATTCAATTATTAAAATAGATTTGTTTGTAAACTTGGAAAATGATGTACGTATGCACACACGTATAATCTCATACTTGAAAAATGAGAAATAATCTTAGTCATTATAATAAAAGAATGAATGGATCAAATCAATTTTAAAGTGAAAAAAGTGATGACAAAAGTGTATAGATTAGGAACTCTTTAAAAATAAATTGATAAATATGCATGTCTACGATGAAAAGTGCATTTGACTAACATAAAAGTGGGCTCATGTTTCGAAAAAATAACAAGTACATTAAAAAGTTTTGTTATTTTTTTAATGAGGTGAATAGGCACTCTTACATATCGCATATGAGTATTACTATGTACTACGTATTATTCTATTATAAATATTCCTTTAAATAATAACCGCACATGCAAAAATTTATTGATTTTCGACATCACTCCAACGTT